TTTTTTTTTTTTTAATGACCGAATAGTTCATTGTATAATACACCACATCTTTTTATCTATTCATCTATGGGTGAACACTGGCATTGCTTTCATATCTTGGGTATTGTGAATAATGGTTTGTTTAGCACAATATTTTAAAGTTTCATCTGTGTTGTAGCCTATATCAGTATTTCATTCCTTTTTATTGTCAAATGATACTTCTCTGTTCAGCAGTTGATGGACATTTGGGTTTCTACATTTTGGCTAATAGGAATGATGCTATAGTGAGTATTTGTGTACAAGTTTTTTTTTTTGTGGATATCTTTTTTATTTTATGTATATATCTGGGAGTGGAATTACTAGGTTGTAGGGTAATTAATTCTGTGCTTAGGCTTTTGAGGAACTGACGGACTTTTTCAAAGTGGCTGCACTATTTTACATCTTAGCGGTATATGATGGTTTCACTTTCTCCACCATTGTCATCCACAGTTGTTTTTTAATGTAGCCATCCTAGTGGATGTGAAATGATAACATAACACTGGTTTTGATTTGCATTTCTCTAATGACACATGATGTTGAGCATCTTTTCATGTGCTTATTGGTTATTTGTATATCCTTGGAATGTCTTTTCAAATCCTTTGTACATTTGTTTTTTTTTCCTTTGTACATTTTTTAATTGAGTCCTCTTTTTATTGTTGAGTGTTAATTCTTAACATATTCTGGATATAAGTCCATTATAAGATCTATGATTTACAAATATTTTCTCCTATTCTTAGGATTGTCATTTCATTTTGATGGTTATCTTTTACAACACAAAAGTTATTAATTTATGTGAAGTCTCATCTGTTTTTTTCTTTTGTACTTTTGATGTCAGATCTAAGAAGGCTTTGTCTAAAGGAAGGTCATGAAGATTTACTCCTCTGGCTTTCTCTACGAGTTTTATAATTTTAGTTTTTATATTTGGGTCTGTGGTCCATTTTGAGTTAATTTTTGTATATGATATGAAGTAGGAGTCCCAACTTCATTTTTTTTGCATGTGGATATCCAGTTGTTCTAGCATCATTTGTTGAAACAGCTGTTCTTTCCTCACCAAATTGTTACTCTTGACTATAAGTTGGTTTATTTCTGGACTCTTAATTTTATTTCTTGGAGCTGTATGCTTATCATTGTGTCAGTACTATTGTGGTCTTGAATGTTGACTACTGTAGCTTTGTAGTAAGATTTG